AAATTCTACTCTAATAATAACTAAATAAGACTAAGTAATAATAATAAAATAAATAATAAAATAATAACAATAATAATGATACAATATCGGAATATTAATCTAATAAAATAATAAACGGTTCTATAACAACGTGAAAGATTACATATAGCTCCATAAATTATATTACAATTATATACTGAAGATTTAAATAGTTAGAACTAATCAAGGTTAATTAAAATTCCTAAATTACGATCTGCTGTTTCAGGTATGAAAAAATAAGAATTATCTGAACTATCAATTTGAGAAAGAAAAGTTTTCCAAATTTCTCCATCATAGATATCAGAAATTGTATTATTATTATTATCTACAGACCGGTTGGCCCATTTTTGAAGTAATGTATTAAACCCATCTTGTTGGTATATTAAAAGTAGTTGAGACTTTATACTTGGTAGTGGATATTGCATTCGTAGTCACCAAACATGTCCTTTTACTGTTAAAGTCTTTTTTAATAGCTCTTCTCTACAAGATTTTCACTGACTTGGTTTTGGGTGATTTGGAAATTTCTTATGCGTGTATTCAAAACTATTAGAATATTGATTATCTGGTGTTATTTCTGTTGTATTATATAATTTATTATATTTGGGACAAACTGTAAATGTTCTATACTGTCTATTGAAATTTAATGCATCCTGTGCAAGATCAATATTTGATGGAAACTTTTCAAAATGATTTTTATCAATATGATTTAAAATTAAACAAAGAAAACCGATAAGAGTATCAGTTACTATATTTGATAGTTGAAATCTTTCTTGAAATTTAAAAACCCATATAAGAATCCACAATAAATCATCAAGATTTATATTGAGCTCAGGAATATGGATAGATTTATCAAAATCAATATAAGGAGCTTGAAATGGATTAACTGAAATACTTTTTAAATCTTCAATTTCTTTATAAAATTCTGAACTATCTGAAGACATTGACATCTCATCTTCGGAATAATTATTCTCACTATCATTATTATCTATAATATTATCGCTATTATTCAAAAACTCATTATTATTTTCAAAATAATCATATCCATTATCCTCAAATTTGTTATCTATATTACTATATCCATTATCCTCAAAGTAATCAATATATTCTTTATCTATATTATCAGATTCATTATTCTCAAAGTGATTACTATCATTATTGTCATTATCCAAAAATTCTAATTTGTTATTTTTTAAAGATTTTGATTTTGTTTTATTTTTATTATTATCTGAAGGCTTTAACTTAGTATAGTTTAAATTTTTAGTACTGCTTTAACTTTCTTGAGACCAAAATTGATCATGTCTTTTTCTTTTTTTTTTAGATATAATTGTTTGTTTTGGGCTAATAGATTTTATTGCCAACTTTACATCATTCAAACTAAGTTCATCTTGTTCATTATCTTTTAATTGTGCTGAGCTTTTAGCATATCTAGTTTGATAATTATTTGTTTTTATTCTCTTAGCAAACTCATTTTGAAAATACGCTTCTTCTTCTTCATGCTGCCTTTTTGTTCTCGTATCGACTATACATCCATTAGGATTTTTACTACAACATTTTTTACAGCAACATCTAATCTAATATCGAATTTTAATAAATTGTGACATAATGAAGTTAAGAAAAATTAAGAATAAAGAAGTAATAATTATATTATTTAAAAGCAAAAGATATATTGCAGTGCTATTATTTAGAAGCAAAAGATAATATTAAAAGATGAGAAAATAATCAGGTGATAAAGACTGTTTATGATTAATCTTGCAAGATTTATATATATTTATTTTAGACTCAGCTTATACAATTAAAATATTCTTTTAATTTATACTTTGCAAATTTTTGAAAAGTTAAATTTATTAATTTGCTTTATTCAATACCTAGAATACTGAAATTCAAAATTATACACCGCAATATTCTAAGCACTTTGATTACAATAAAAAAATTTTTTATTCAAAATTGTAGTGAATATTAGTAAGATCTAATTCACATAGAAAAAAAAAAGATTTTTAGCTTGTCTGTCTAAAATATATATGACGAACATAGAACAATAAAGCACTATAGCACCTAATTCTTTATATCAGATAAGAAAAAGTACAGTTGACCCTCATTAATATCAACCTGTGTTAATATCAATCTAAGCAACAAAACAAATTTTTATAAATTTTTATATATCAAAATTACCTCAAATATATAAGCTTTAATATAAACTCTTATTAATATCACTATCAATATGAATTTAAAGGTGATCTAAATAGGTTGATACTAATGAGGGACAACTGTATTATCAATTAAGAAAAATTTATACACTAAAATCTTTGTTTCTTCAGATTTGATTTAAATTCGAATATATAAAACCCAATCTACTGAATCTGCAATACTTACATTATCTATACAAATGAATGCATAAAAAACAAAAGTATTCGATCATCTTGAATTTCTATAATATTAAAATAGTTTTCGTTCTTAAGTGATCGAAGGTTTTTTTTTATTGAGTATATGCATGTGTATATATGCAATGCTACTACGTATTGTAATCTTTTTGAATTTCATCAAAATAAATTCAGATTTAAAAACCAAATCCGGTTCCAAATTCTATACAGAATAAGAATAAAAAATATATTATATTAGAGCAAGGAGTGATATATTGAATAATTCGTGTTGGATACAAAATTAAAATACTTAAAGAAGCATTGTCATTCAGTAAATCAGATTTAATTATTTTAGTTAAGAATTTTAATTTAAAAACTTCTTTTTGTTCTAAATCGATAAAATCTTACTATATATATACTAATATATATAATCAAAGCAGTAAGTAAATAATTGGTTTAGTTTAATAATTATTTCAAAATTATATAAATATGCGTAAAAATAACAATGATACGACTATATAATCGACTAAATATCAACTTGAATTAGATTTTGATTTATTTTAATATCAAAAAAATACTTGAAACAATGGGCTGCATGGCTAGAAAATGAATAGGTACTTTTTGCTCTGTTCCCAGTATGCAATTGCAATCACGATTATCTTTATATATCATATGAGCTATCTATGAGATACTTCTTATAGTCAGACAATAGAAATTATTCAGGTTCGAATTTCTGTTCAAAAACACTCCAAGAATGATATTTTTAAATGCATATAAAATAAATAAGTATTTTGTTGCTCTGAATGAGGATCAACAATTAGTGATATCAATAGTAAAAAAAATCTAACAATAAAATCATAATTAAGTTAGGTCTTAGGGTGCTCTTAAGCATCTTCTTCAGTGTAATTAGCTAGCTAAAGAAATCGTGCACAAATCACAGGTTCAATAAATACATAAAGGATATATAACGGGATCCCTTTATCAGCCCGATATCTGTCCTTTATGTATCTACTCTTAACCTGGTTTGCTACAGTTTTTTGGCAGATGTATGATAACATAAAGGATAAATATCAGTACAATATAAGATAAATATAAGATAAATAAAGGGTATCTTTTAGTATCCCAATATTGATCCTTTATATAATAATTATATAT